AAAAACATATATATATATATATATATATATATATATATATATATATATGTGTGTGTGTGTGTAATGACAAAAGAACATAACAAAATGACTAAAAATTAAACTAAAATTAAAACTGAAAATAAAAAATAAAAGCAAATTCAAAATATTAATACATAATATATAAATAATACTAAATTCATAAATCCTTATGGAGAACATGAACAGAAAAAAATATTTAGGAACCAAATGCGCCCAAAAAGTGGGAGGTTACTGACATCTTACTTCTGTCTTCTCATTGGACAACAAGACAGTGGGATGATGTAAGAATACATTTGTAAATAGAATTAATTAATTTTTAACCACAGTATGAATGGAGATGATTGAAAGGACTTGTGTGGTTGTATTAAAGTTCATACAATTAGAAGCTTTTGCTTCTGAGGGTTTTCAGGTTTGGCTGAGAGTGTTAGTTTGTGATTGTGATGAAAGCAGTCATTCAGATGTGGCTTGGCATTTTGCCCAAGGTGCTCGTCTGAATTATATGCTGTTGATTGTTTAATGCGCGGTAATTTGTTATTAATGTTGGTCATTAGAGTGAAATTGTAGGGTAGCTTTTCAGAGACTGTTCCAAACCAAAGTGAGTTGAATGAAAAAACAGCACTGAATGAGAAAATTTTGTTTAAAATAGGGATGGGAAACATTTGGGATCTCACAATTTGATTTGATACATGAAGTCACAATTCATTTTCAATTTCGATACATAGAAATCTTTTTTGGGACACATCGTTAAAACAACAGTTACGATATTATCGTAGGCGCTGCTGCACTGCCTGCTCACAGGTTGAGAATTCCATTTTTTATTCTGACAACATTATGTTGTTATGTAAAATTTACAAAATCAATCATCTGCACAAAGAATACATGCAACACTTCATGTGGCTTTACAGGGCTCCAGACTGCGACCAAATTTTTCTGCCGGTTCTACAAATTTTTGTGAGCGGTCGCACTGGCGCGACCACTGCATTGTCCAACTCATAAGCTTTTCAGCTGCGCAGCGGTTTAGCAGATCGCACCATGACGCAAACAAACTTGTTCGAGCTCAGAACAGCTTTACTCAGGAGCCAAAGTTGATTTTGCGACACTGTTACTGCACATATGCAACAGTGCTGCGAGATCCAGTGAGAAGCGTTTGAATTTGCTGCACAATGATAAGGTTGCTGCGAGATCTAGTGAGAATCATTCAAATTCTGCACAAAATTCTCTGTTATAAACAGCGCTGACATACATCAGGAAACCAGAAGCGGTAACGCTAACTGTAACCATGGTGTTGTGGTAGAAATAATCGAATGCATTACATCATTCATTTCAGGGTTTGTACAACCTTTTGAGAGACAAATTCATGCACTTTTCAATGACTTTCAAGCATTTCACACA